GGTATACATGCAGAGTAGAACTATCGGCCTGGTGATCGCATAATTCTGCTTAGAACGCCAACGATCCTATTCTTCCACGCGATAGTTGTTCGGGAGACCAAATCGCGTGCTATAAAGTTCACGACGAGACGATAGAATCGCTCGAATATCGATCGATGTTTTCGATTCGAAACATACATTTTTTCTAGAGTTGCTATCGGACGTTGTAAGTTATAATAGCATCGCATTCTACGTCGATTAATTCATTTGTGTCGCTCTCGTTGATGTCTCCCGTCCTCTACTTGAGTTTGGACGGTTTGCATGGTCGTGTAACGTCGAATAGAGCGATGCCTAAAAATATCGTAACATAGAGCTCCGTTTCGAGTAACCAAAATTACCGCGTACCGTACATCGACTTTATACAATACGTAAAACAAAGTAATCGAATAGCATGAAAAACGATACGATTTGCTTGAAAGATGTTCGTTCCTTCGTGTTTTCGACGGTTTAAATAATGTCCAAGGGACGGAAAATGATTATTTTTTCTTAATCGTCGGATTACCGGAGCGGTTACTCTGCGGCGTCGGCGGCGGCGGAGCGACCTCGATTCAACGAAAAGACACGATCCCTGGGCACGTTCTCGTGAAGGGTAGCAAAAACGACATTGCAGCAGAGCCGCGAAGAGGCTGCGTCGCGGGAGTCGGGCCGGCAGCCGATAGCGTGGTATCGCGGCTGGCTACGCGTCCAGATCTTGTCGACCAATCGCAGAAAGCTCCTTCCCACCAAAGTAACCGTGTCGGTCTCCGCCTCCCGGCGGAACGCCTTTTCGTCCAGGTACCCCAGGCCACGGTAACCGGCCCTGGCGAGCAGGTAACACAATCGCCGCCGCGAAACAGCCCCCGGGGGATCCGGTAAAATCAATAGGCCAATGGCTACTGGGACGCGTGCGTACTTAACGCGGATGACGGACATTGCCTCTGCCCTGGCAGCCGCGACCGCGGAGGTTCCTCCCGGCCGCGCCCGCGCCGGCAGGGAAGGGCACGGAGGGTGTCCGTGCTCGAACTCATCCTACCGACACCCCCATCGGTGGAGAATACGAGCGAGGGGCAGTTTCGAGCGCGGATACGTGCGAGCAGCAATTTAGCCGAATCATTCCTGTCGCATGATTTATCACCGTCGCCCTTTTCAGCGTGCATGGCTCGCCTGGTAATGGTACGTAATAGCGGTAATCGTGCCTGGACTTTCCGTCTGTGTGGGAGAACCAACCTGAACGACCATGCAAACCGTCCACGATAAATCTTTCTACCCGCGATGTGTACCTGGCCACGGCTCCCCTCGTCCAATAATCGTTGCGATACATATACTTTTTCTCTTCCTCCCTTCGCTACCCTCGCAGTATCCGCGACCGCGGTCGCCAAGGAGGAACACGACGCGCAGGTCGCGTGGCGCATTGCGTGAAAAAGGAACCTGCGTCCTTAATTGAATTAGTCACGAGTTCTCCTGACGGGCTCGCGGAGATTTTCCGGACCGCGAATCCCCGATTCGCGTGATTCTCGTATGATTCAACGATCGCAGCACACGATCCACGACCGTGTTTCTTTTTCCGTTTATCACGAAGAGGACAAGTCGAATGGGACGAATAAACCATGCTCGACGGTTGTAACTTGGAAGGAAATATTCCGACGATTTCTAATCCTTCGAGGAGCACGAACGTACAATTACGTTTTGCGCTTTACGCCAAAACGAAAACAAACGCAGCGGATGTGCGTCGAACGTGACAAGATTCTTTGCATGCATCTTTGGTTCGAGGAGTACGACACCCACGAAGCAGCTGTGGTCGTGTATGTACTCGATTCGACTTGCTACTACTACGGAAAAAATCTTCCTTCGTTTTACCCTCGAACCTTGTTTAATGTTAGCGAAGAACTACTGTAACGAATATTATGCCTCGTGAATCTAGACTTTCTCGATACGTGCAACCAGAAACGGAATGCAGCGGAAACTGGTTGGATGATCGAGGTCAACGACTTTATTATCTTCTAATCGACGGTTCCCGACGCGACGAACGCCTCGTTCAGCTGTCCAAACAGACGGATAGACCGATCTCGTTAACCGGACGATGATCGTTGTAATATTTACACATACGGTAGTCTAATTGATTCGAGATCGTTTACCAAACAGAAACGTTGATATTCGATGGTAGCCGAAACTACCCGGAAATGTTAGAGGATCAAGACGGACAATAAATCGAATGTGTCGATCAACGAAACGGAAACGAATTCGTTCAAGTTTCCTGACGGCCAATGATCTCTTTCGTGCCGTTTCGTGGGGTCGTTCGACTTTAAACCTTCGAGGGAAGCGAAAAGGTAGTTTCGTGGTCGATGGCTAAATTACTGTGACCGCATCGTTTAGCAAATTCGGGAGGGGGCGAAGCAAGCGAAGGGCCGTAAACGGACGGGCCAAAACAACCGAATACTAACAGGATCTTTCTGGTAGAGTAGCAACTTAATAGCCGGCGTATCGTTTCGGTGAGATTCGGTTTCGCAGAGATTACGTTCCAAGATTTAACTTTTAGTTGAAAAGAGTGAAACTTGAAAATCCCACCGGAAGACGTGGTCAAATATTTATTCGAGCAAATCGACTAAACGAGAAGACTGTACAAACGATCTTTCCCTAATCGAGGTCCACGCTTTGACGATTATACTTGTACCTCTTCGATACCTACCGCGAACGTCAAGTCCGCGGCGCAGCGACACGACTTCGAAATTCGTGCCTTTGCGATATCGCAGCTCGAACGAAGCATAAAAGCACGTCATTTTGAGATCGATACTCCGGAACATTTTCCCGAGAGGTAGGCAACCATCGATCTGTTGGCATGTCCCCGGCAAACCGGCACGCGAGGAGCCTTCGTCGCAACAAAGAATTTACATCGTGTTTCTTTGCTTCTCTTGCTTCTTCTTCAAGCCTAAACAAAACAGCGTTTACCTTAGCAACCACAAATATCGTTACCACAGTTGCTAACTTTGTAAGGTCCACTTTAAAAATTAGATGGATTTCCATCCGTGACACGGTCGATTGTTTCTCGTTTCCTTCGAGCACAAGAAAAGAATTTAGACGATGATAGGCTACCCATGGCACGCAACCAGATCAAATTGATGATCCGTGCTTGCGAAGGACACTGCCCCGAGAACTCTTCGCGTGAGATTCTTGGCAACAACTACAAGAACTAGGAATTTACTTCTTTTCGCTTTTATAAGAACTTATACCATCCGGACGGGCCTGTCAGGTACGAAACCATCTGGAAACGGTTTTCCGCGATCTTCTTTCGGCGAATCGATTTTCTATTTTCAATGAAATTTTTTCATCCGTCTCCTCCGACGCCTCGTTGCCAGTTAAACGGTGAAATTATCGAGCAGCTTCGGCTCCATTTGGTCATCGACCGTTGAACCGTATCCAAGAAAAATCGTTTGAAACGGTGTTTCCGTTGGTAATTTGTTCTTTTTTCGAAATGGTAACGAACCTTCGTTCCAATTCAAGCAACGTCGAACGAAATCCTACAGGTACAAATAAAGTCACAGACAGTAAGAAACGTTTGCGTTCTCCACGCGAAGTTGCGCGTTTCTACTATATCCGGTTCTCTGCTACAACGCCCGTTTCCCATGAACTCCGGCAGTTTAAATACATTTTTTCCTATTACTAATTATCGGGAAAAGGCGATCGGTTCACGTCCTGATAGTTTGCACGCCGAGACAGCGAAAAAATGAAAGAGTAGCTAAAGTCGGGTCGATGGACTGTCCGCGACATTTCTTCCGTAGTGGCTGGGTTATTTGCGGAATCGACGCGAACAGGGGATGCGTAGCGTCCAGTTAATGGAAAGACAACGGCACCTTGCTGTTGGATAAAAACATCGAAGAATCGTTCTCGTATTCTGCTCCGCCAGCGAAGCAACGAAAGGCGATCTTCCGTCGTTTCCTGCTTCTTCGGAAGCTCGCGTTGTCTCGTCCGCAAGTGTAGCATTTTTTGGAAATATATCGAGGATTATCCTCTGTCCATCTCTCCCGATAACATCGAGCCACGAAAACAGTCGAAACGGACTAGAATGCTGATGAGATAGTTCGAGTCGGGCGTATTCTTGGAAGGTCTTGGAACGATAGGAAAAAGGAGTACTGGAAATCCAGAGGCAGGCTAATCGTTGGAATCGGCAATTCCGGAGCGTAGCCGGCATCCGACATCGACATCCGATTTGGGAATTAATCGATCCTGTCCGTGGAAACGACAAAGACCGGAGGAGCGAGTGGAAGGCGGAAGGGCGCGTTGGTTACTCGGCGCGGCGCGGCGCGGCGCGGCGCGGCGGCGTGGGCGACGACGAGCGCGAGGTTGGACAGATCGGTGGGCGTCCACCGGTTCGCCCAATTGGTCGATCGAGCCGGTAATGGTCGGTGGGCGTCGGGTAAGCTCAGATGCGCGGCACGGAGTGCGCACTTGGCTGGCTTTAGCCAGCTCGTTCCATGCATCCTCGCGACTTCCAACTTCCCCCTTGCTCACCTTTACTCGCTTCGAATAAACCGCTTCGTCCGTCCACCTCTCCTACGTCGGTCGTCGCCTCCTCTTCCTCCTTCTACGATCCATGGTGCGATCGTAATCGACGCGAACGGACCCTGCGTCTTCGAGCTAGCTCTTGCCATTGCTCGCTGCTCGTATTTCTCGTCCTCTTCCTCGTCCACGACGTCCGCGTCCTCCTGTTCGTCTTCGTCAGCGCCGCTGCGCCTAGCCACGCCGCACCGCGGCGCCTTAAATCTTGATCTCACCTCGAGTAGTAGGGAGGGTGGGGGTAAAGCTAGTCTGGGTGCGCTTCGAGCCATCGAACGGAAGGCAATCTGCTCGAATCCGGCGGACCGCGAGCAGGTTAGCCCATACAAACGTTCCGCAGCTCCTTCTGTTCACCATCGACTAACGCGGCCCCCTTTTGCGCGCGTTTCATCTGCCATCGACGGGGTTCGGTCGACCAGCTGATCGGTGTCGCGGTGGAGGACTTTTGGACCGCGAGAAGATTCGGACGCCTCGAGAAAGGTAAAGTGAAAGCAAATACACGGTGGATGACCGACGAGTGAACCTCGGACTCGGCAAGGGCCGAGGGTGTCTCGAACCGCGTATCGACTCAAAAGGAATCGAGCATCGATCGACGGAAGAACGGTCGATGCAGAGGAGGACTCTCGACTCGCTCGGAAACGGAAGGACCGAAGAAACTCGCGTTACCTTAAATCTGGATCCTCGCCTCGGGCGAGCAGCCGTTGTTCCCGCGAGGGCACGCAAGTGGGGGTAAGGCTAGTCGTTGGCGCGCTTCGAAAGCCCGCACGGGAAGGCAATCTGCTCGAATCCGGCGGAGCGCGAGCAGGTTATCCCGTGGTGAGCGCGTTTCTCGTCGGGCCGCTATTGGAGAAAGGAGTCGAGAGATCGGACTTGGCCGCAAGGAGAAACAGAGATCGACTCGGAGCCGTGAAACGAGCCAGGAACATCGGAGCGAAAGAGACCAAGAGGAGGGAGGAACGAAGAGAAGGGCACACACGTCCATAGGTAGTCACGAGCTTCGACGAAGCGCCTGCGCTCGCGAGCACTCCTCGCCGTCACCTCGTCGCATCGACCACGCTCTCGTCCACGTAGCCGGGACCGACAGCCGACGCGAAAGCTCGCGCCACGATGAATCGCGACCGCCGTCGGCCCGTCGGACAGAATGTCATTCTGTTTCGCTAATCGGACGCAGGAAGCCACGACGAACCGTGGCGTCGATTGGCTCCTGCGCCACCGCGACTCACCAACTGGCTCAACTTACTTGTGACTCTGTGTGGGTGTGAGTGCGAGTGCACGCGGATCGAGCCGACTCGCTGGCATCGCGAAACGTCAAAACCGAAACCGATACGATCCTCTCGGTTCGAACTTTCCGCGGAATATTTTCTTGTGCAAAGACCGACACGACTCCATCCGTTGCGAAGAATCGCGAAACAAGACCCACCCACCGAATCCAGTCGCGAGTCAACAAGGGTGCGCGAAGAACCGAGGCGTAGGCGTCGGCGTCAACGTCGGGACACTGAGGGACATCGGGACGAGCCGAAAGCTGTGGAAATAACCGTCGGATGCAAAAGCAGGAAGAGGAACGGCTCGAGCTTAGGGACGGCGTAGCTGCAGAAGTGGAAGCAGAGGGGGACGGCGAGGAGGAGGAGGAGCTGGTGCCCGGTGTGGAGGGGGTGGAGGTGATCGTCTGGTGATGATGATCGGTGGCGGCGTCGCGACCCCTCCTGGTACTGCCAAGTCGGCGGCTGCGATCGACAGCGAAATGGTGCAGGTCGACGGCATTGGCAGTGGTAGTGTCAGTGGCAGTGCTAGTGGTAGTGGTAGCCCCGCGACAGGCGCGACTACTACGCGTCTCACCGCCGCCAGTAACGCCACCGCCAACAACAATAACAACAACAACAACAACAATAATAACGGAGACGTTGCAAATAATAACAACAACGAAGTTCACCAGGCGGTGAATTGCAGCGGCGGATCCACCGCGGCTGCCGACAAGTTTTGCTGTCACGACGACGATGCACCCGTTAGCACCGGCGTCGCGCGGCCTTGGGAACCACCCTCGCCGACCTTCTCGCAGACGAGGTCGCATCTGCTTCGAGTTCATCCGCCACATCCTCATCAACATCCAGCTGCGCACCACCATCAACAGATGACCGTGCCGCCGGTGTCTTTGATCGACGGTCAGTTTTCTCGCCTCGACATTCCTTCTTTTCTTTTCTTTTCTTTTCTTTTCTTTTCTTTTCTTCGAAGCCCGCGAATCTCGACGCGAACATGTACATTGTCGCGTCAATTTCGCGTTTCCCATTCGACGGATAAACCGTCGAGAATACACGACACGAGATAAACATCTAGAGTGTCGATGTCGTTGTAGCTGCCTCCGAACAAAGTACTTTTAACGAAGACCGCGGTTGATTGCGGACGACTCCGCCAGCTATAACACGCACGCGGAGAGACAAAGACGAGCCAATTAACATCGCGATTCGTATCGTTAGCCATTTGCTAGGTACTAAAACGCTTATCGTTACTATTTCTATAAGAAATTAACAATGCTCCTACTCGTTATCGATATTAATTATTTGAGTACTTTACGTTTACCAGCACCGTGGAATAAAGTTACCAAAGAGTTCCACTTTTATTAATTTATTTATTTAACGAACGTTCGCTGAACACTTGTACACACCGTTGCCGATAATCGACACCGGGAGTAATCGATGAAACTTCTCCCAAAGAATCTGAAAATTTCCATCGAACCCGAACAGTGAGGCGCGGCGACGCGTCGGCATTGTTTGCGCGAACAATTCTTATCCGCGAATAAAATTGCTACGATTAAATTTAAACGAACAAACGCAAACGCCTGTCGCTCGTTGATTTACGTTAGAATCGGGAATCAGCGAGACCGTGTCTTCGTCGCGTGTCTTCTCGCTTGTACATAGTATTTAAGTCAGGAAAAAAGAGAAGCATTTTAAATCGAATTAAACGAGCGTAACAACGACGTTTCATGGTTCTCCAGGTGTGCGTCGAGACCGTCTGCTGGTTCGGTAGGTAGGTCGATTCTCAAGGGATGATACGATCTTCCCCTCTTCGCGATGATATCTCCTTTCGGAGCCCTTTGAGTTGTTAACGCGCAAAAAATCGCTGGTAATTTCGTATCTGAACGCGTCGATTGAAATTGTTTGCGACGAAGCGCCGATTTTCACGAGAGGAATGCGAGTCAAAGTCGCTGAAAATGACGCGAAACCGTCGACGGGTCTTTTCGCAAAATTTCACTTTTTTGCGAATTCGAAGAATTGATAAAGAATGAAAACCTAGAGCAAAAGAAAATGTAGGAGAGATGAAAATTGGTCGCGAGGAGAGGGTGTCGATATTTTTACGACGCGGAACGCGCAGAATTGCGTGTCTCGAACGAGCAGCGAATAGGATTTTCGTTGACTCGACGCGTTCGTAGCGTTTTATCGTCGAACGATCGGCATTTTTTCGTTCGGCCGAACGTTAATTGAACGGTCCAGAGCCAGAGTCGAGTCGGAAAGTCGATCTCTCGTCGTAAGATGTCCGCGAAAACGTCTACGGAGTCGTTCGCGCGATGATCCAGCTGAACGCGACTCTGAGACCAAACGGGCCTCTAAACGGACCGTCGATTCTTCCAGAGACACCGAGAGAATCCGCTGATAAGGCATTTGCGGGGTGCAATCAACGCCCGAAGAATGCCCATCGAAACTGAATGCGAGCGAGGCATCTAACTACTGGTATATTCAAAGATGCTTTCCGTGGTTTACACTTGCCGAACGAAACGACGGAGAGCTACCAGCCATACTCGTTCAGAACCGGTTTCAATGCGTTACCAACAGTACGTCTTTTCGCGATGAGCTGCTACTCTCGTTGAACCTTTCGATACCCGTCCATACTGTTCGGTGCGGACGACTTCTCCGCCCGATACGGACCGCGGTTACGGATATTCGCGTACGAATCGCTCGGGCCATTGCACGAGCAACGTTCAAGTTTACCATTTCGGTGCAACCGAGGTATCGAAACGTTTATCAATTTTTGTATACGCTGACGATCGGTTTATCGAAATGGTTAAAAACCATTTTTAGATTCGACTACCCCTCGATGAATCCCCTCGACTGAACCAACGATGAATCGTCCCGACGAATAAAGTCGATTTCTGCGCGACCCTTTCCACCGTGAAACGCGACTCCGGGTCGACCGCTTCGTTATCAAAGTCCATTAGTCGTTCGACTTCTTGTCGCGTCCCTTGCAAAGTATCGGAAACCAGCATCGACACCTTCCTCGTCGCAAACCTTCTCGACCGCGTTCGTTCCTTTCTCGAAATTCGCAACACCGTGAACGGGGTACGTTGTTTGCGTAAGTAAGATAGGAAGCGACATCGTTTATAGATCGGCTCGATACTCGCCACCTTTATCCAGCAGATTTTACTACCATGCCCGGCAGGTATTCCAAGGCAGGTATCGTGGTCCGGTAGTTGGCAGGTATCTTCATCTGTTCGGGCCGAGGGTCGCTTTATTTCCACCTTTTCGCTGTCTCTTCGAATCTGTATCCTCTGTCGTTGGGTAACGAGCACTCGGTTGTTCACCGTCGGACGCTAATTCGAAACTTCTGGCTGCTGGTAACGTTTCGATGGGAGCTAAAGTTGATGCATAGACGTACCAGAGCGTGTAAATCGGTTGAAATAATTTCAGTCTGTCGGAGGTCCTCTGCGGTAGCGTATCGATTGAGAAATCTTCGAGATCGAGATCCTCGGATATAAATCTGTAGGAACATTTCATTCTCAGAGCTGTAAATACGGAATCTGACCATGAATCAAAAATTACCCGTCCTCGTTCCCTGCTAATACAACTAATTAAACGAGGACAATATTTGATGGAAGTATGCACGACTAATTGGAGTCCGTGTCCATTCGTCTCCAGGCCCATGATTTATGCTGCGTTACACGAGGATAACCCAAGTATCTCGTTGGTCGTCGGCTGAATTTATAGCCACACCCTACGCGTTTCGAGACAGGTACCCTGTTCGCCGGCGCGGCGTCCGATTTCTGCGTTCTCGTGGATTTTCGGAGCGAGCGAAGCCGAGGTCGCGGCTCGAAACGAATTCGCGTGTAATTCAGTGTGAAATTGATCGGAATCGTCCCGTAGGAATCTCTCGATCACGCGTCGGCCAGGTATCCGCCGCGGTCGTTTATCGTCCCGACAAATCTTGCCTCGTCGTTCGAAGGCTCGAACGATTTTCATTCATCGTTCGCGTTCCACGGATCTCGAGAAGTATTCGCGCTTCCAGTTCTTTTATATCGATTATCTATCGTCTGGTGGCAATGATCAGTCTTTTCTACGGAGCGATTTCGTGTATACGTAAAAGAATACAGAGGACTCCAGTGTCAGAAACTCGTTCAGAACCGGTTCTAGGTCTCGACGTCGATGCAACGACACGACGCATTTCTTTCTGTGCATCGGCTACTTTCGTTTTCACGACACCTCCGATAGCTTTGACACGAAACGAGCGCGGAATGCGCGCCGATGCGCCTTTCAGGGCAACCAGAACGCGTAGGTTTCGCCGGTCTCGCGAGTACGATTCGAACGGATGCCTCTCGACTGTACAAAGTGCTTGCTCGACCGCTCGACATCGTTTTCTTTTCTTTTTTTTTTAATACGTTAGTCGCGCCAAACGTGCACACCTTCCTAAACCTTCAATAATTCAATTTCAGACGACTTCTGGAAAACTACGATAGCAATGACACGAACAACACTCGGCGCGAGAACGTACACGACGCAAAGTAATTACAGTATTAATTCCGTCACTTGCCAACGATAATATACTCGCGGAGGACGTAAAATCTTCTCTCGACATTCTTATTCTTCCTCCTCTTGCACCGATTCCTCTTATCGTTCGTTCTGCAAACGTGGTATTCTTGTAACGATGGCGAGTCGTACAATGGTATGTATATTAATCGAGTTTTCGATATATGCATATTAATGTAACGCAATGGGAAAGACTATGCCAATTTCCGACTACTTTTCAAACGGATAAAACTAAAATCCCCAAACTGTTGCCTACACCTAATAGTTACTTTGTCGAATATCAGCGTCATGTATCGAGGAGAAGAAATTACTGTTAGCCGGATAACGAGTGAAGAGTATTCGCGTAAAATCCATCCCGGACGGTGATCGGCAATTCGGCCAGACCATAAAAGACTAATTAATTGAACGGGCCCCTATGTAAACGAGCGGACGCGTACGCGGTCAGGCCCACTCGTAACCAGTCGAAACATCGCGTTACAAACGAGCCAGAGACCGGCCGTTTCTATCTACCTTCGGAATTTAATTTCCCGTTCACGATTCCCTTCGAAACGACGGCTGATCGTTGTCGACGAGAGACGCGTAAGATCACGCTCTCCATCGGCTCGTGGACGCGCGAACGCTACTCTTCGACACCGTCGTTCGGATCGTAAATTATCGTCCTCGCGGATCGTACGAAACGTCGTTAAGATTATCCGCCCATAAAATCACCGACTGTCCGCGAGCTGGACGCTAATTACGATTATTCTATCGACCATGATTCCCCCTGGAAATTAATTCGAGAACCGGTGAATCCGCGGCCCCGTGTATCGGCTGATTATTAACAGTGTCTCCGATCCTGGCATTTCTTGTAACGACGCTGTATCTATCTTTGAAAACATCGCGAACATATCACCCATGGCAACAAACGAATATCTCGGTTTCGTTAAATGCTTTTTAAACAATTTCAAAACCCCGTCGATCTCCTCCGAATCGTTTATACATATTTGTACCCTGGCAAGCTCTTGCTTTCTTTGTACCGAAATGTTATTTTATCGCTGTTACTTTTGAAACTGATTCCGACGAAAAGCTTTTTCACTGCGTCGTACATGTTCTCGTTTTTCCGATGAAACAATATATCTACTCGCGACTACGATCCTACTTCGCAACGCCTCCGCGTGCGTACACTTGACCATAAAAGGATAGTCTACGACACGCATTTCATCTACGCGATTGTAAATTATCGTATCGATCGATCAGATTTCCTACGCTAATCGATCGCACAGTTCACTATGCGATCTGCTCGAGTAGCGTTTCTGTTCATTGCCCATCTCTGATTCACGATGGCGCCGCCCGCGCCGCGCGGCACCGTGGAAAGTCGGCAACCGATCGTCGAGGAAAAAAGACTGATCTGGTTTTCGTAAACGCTAGCCGTCCATCGCGACACCCTTTTCGATCGCCTCCTCTCGTGTTCGCACCCCGCCACCACACCCCTTCGAGGAAAGATACGATCGGCGCCCGAGGCTCGAAGTAAGGCTCGCGCTGACCGAAAAATGTATCGCTCTCAATACCGTGGCCTGTTCGATCGTAAATCGTCGCCTCTCTCTCTCTCTCTTCCTCTCTCTCTTTCTTTCTCTCTCTCTCTCTCTCTCTCTCTCTCTCTCTTTTTCTCTCTTTCTCTCTTTCTCTTCCGGCCGAGTGGCACGAAACGAAACGTCGTCGAGATTAGCCGCCTATAAAATCACGAGGAAGTCGCGAACCGCTCCCGAGGTGTCCTTCGAGGAATTACCAAAGGGCCTTCGCACCTCTGCGTGATTAATCGCCGCGATTTCAACAGACAGATGCGACGGTTCGCAAGCTCGATATCCTCTTCGCCGAAAGATCGCATCGAGACCAAATTGCGCGCCATCGCCGCCGGATCGAGTAATTTAAATTAATTCGCTCGATTATGCCGACACTTCCACGCGATCGCTTTTGACACGCTCATTATGCGCGCATTGTCGACGAAACGAACCGTTCCCTCGATTCAGAAACGCTCAATCAACCGACGAACAGCCTATTAAGCGTTTCCTAATCTTTGTTAATCGTGAAACGCTTTTCATCTTACGGTCTACGTATTCAAGTGAAAAACATACGATTATTAACGTAATATAGATAACAAAGATATGTCAACTTGTACGTTGACAGGCGCGAGATTCGTGTACGAGTACACGTGTCTTCGGTTGGTTTGGCTATTCGTTCGATGCGCGGCTTCAGAGAAACCAAAGAGGAGAACGCGCTACTAGATACTATTTAAGGTATCGTTACCTAATATTTAATCGCGTTATGTCACTTCTAGGCGTGAGCTTGCAAAACTGTACCGCGGGGCCATTTGCTAGCGGTAATGGCGGCGGAGCCAGTCGACAACGATTGTTGGAGCTGTCGCATGGATTAGGTGCTCTCAGACACTACAACGATCTGGCCAACCATGTGTTGTCGTTGAATCAACAAGGTGCTGTCGTCACGAAACTTTTGGGTAAGTTGTCGATATCTAGTGTTTTTTGGAAATTATTCAACCTAGAACTGTAGTTTAATTAACCGATAATAGAGCTAACGATGGTTAGGAAATTGATGTCGGTTTCAGTTTGGCGTCAATAGAGAAAATTAGCATGCAGTCGTAGGCAGTCGTTTAATAAATTAAATATCAGATCGTGGCATAAATCATTGCGTACTTTGCTGTGCGAGTTTTTCGCCTACGCGCTAACTGCCACATTAACAAATATTGATCGATTGTTTGCATTTGGACGACCAATGAACGTTGATGCTATAGGTTAAACGGGACGGTAGATAATTGACTAAAAAATCCTTATTTTGTTGCAAGAAGTCGTTGAAAGTAGAAGAAAGACCAAGTTTTCTTCTTCTGCTTCTCGTTCGTAAAGTGTGATTGTAATTGTAAGCTGATTGACGATGACATCAGTGCATTCGTTTTAGAGTCGACGAGTTTTTTCTTTTAGGCAATCTATATTGCCTTCGTTTCGAAGTTTATAACGAACTGCACTCTACACTGGCTGCTGCGTTCATCAGTAAAGTTTACGACAGCGTTTACCTATTCCGAAGCTAAAACGACTTTTTGCGAAACAAGAACTTAAACGACGCGACGCATTGAAATCGACACTGAACTAGTTCTCGAAGACGAATAAACCGAACTGTACCAAAGACGAGCCGATAAATTAATCCAAAGATAGATAAAGAAAACGTACGAGAAAATGGTCGCTCCGTGGATGATTAAGGGTGTTTCTGTATCGCGTACAAGCTATTTAAGAAAAGATGCTTAAAATTGTTTAGGTGAAATTCTTGTACGAGTTCTCTGCAGTTTGTTGCGCACTCGTTAAGTATATCCGATGCCAATCAATTTCTATACGGTGCCATTATCCGTCTACTATTCTCGTAAAGCGTTGGCAATCTTTGAGCGATAGCGATCCCCCCGTCGAAATCTTTGCAAATCAAACGACGCACGACGGTCGATTTCCTGATAAAATCCGAGAAAGGTTAAGTCTGCCTTTGGGTGATGATAGACGCGGAACATCTCCGTGTATTCGAATAGCGATCGTTTAGCCGAGCGAAACCGTCGTGCCGAGCAACGTGCGCGAAATCAGTTACGCCAGCCGCTCGTGCTACGTTCGTTGCAAAAGGAGAAGAAGAAGTTCAAATTGGAAAAGCAAATAATCCGTAGAACGATTCGAGGCTCGCGGCTATCGATCGCTATTATTTTCCTGGACGTGGAGCAATTACTCGCTCGTAATAGCGTATCCGTCCCTTCGTTAGACTATCCGGATGATCCAAGGATACCGCTCTAATCGCGTCTAATGCTCCGCAACACGGAAGCAACCGATTCGTTCGCAGTCTCTTCTAAACGCCAACAAAAGAACGAAAGTTGCGCGTTCTCTGAAATCTCGAGCGCATTATTCTCGTTACTCGAACGAGAACCCGCTGACGATTTATGCTGCAACGAGCGTTAAGAAAAAACGGCGGCCTTTCGAGCTCGTTAGCCGGTGGGGATTAACTCTCGTAACAGCCGTTTCTTTTGCCCGTAAAACATGAACTTGGTCGGTTCGCGCGTTCTCGAATAATTCGTCAATAATTTCCTCGATCCTTGGCGTTTCTTTCGTGTTCCCTGTTACTTGGGCCAAGTACTTTCCCCAGGAATTTTTGCTGGGAATTACAAACATTTCTACGAGAAACTGACCGACAACGACCGCGTAAACAAAAAATTGGGAAAATCGTTAAACGAACAAAGATGTTGAAATTTCATGATCGGTATTCTCGATTCCGTCGACACAATTCCCAGCCATCGGTCGGCCAACGAGTTTCTATCGAGGCTAAAAATCTATTTTCTTTTCAAGCATTAGCGATGTCAATAGCTTCCAGACACTCGGGAGTCTGCGGTTCATCGATCAAGCTCAACGTTAGAACCTAGTCTCGACTTTCCTGTTCGCAGCAATCCTGCTATTCCGTGCTTCGAGTTCCAGAACGATACAAATAAAATGCAAATAATCTATTTACACGACAATATCTATTTAGGTGCCTTAAAAATAATCCCCATTGCTGACGATATACATATACCAACGGTTTATGTAAGATCGTCAGCATCGATGGAACTCGATTTCTCTATCGTCCTCGATTCGTTTGTCGTCTACCTGTCATAATCGAATCCTTCGCAGCCTATACGCGGCATCGTGAACATTAAATTTAATGGAAACTCTTTGCTCGGCAAATTTCTACGAGATGAAAATTACCGAAAGCTTCGAATTTCGTCTCAATTCGTCAATTCGTTGATCGATTCGTCAATTTAACGAGGCAAAAAGAACTGGATACTACGTTTCGCTGCTTTTCGCAAACGAGTTTGTTCTGGAAGTTCTGGTGCGAAGAAGCAGAGCCAGTTAAGCAAAAGCTGTTGGACTCGGCGCGCACGGTGCTCTGAATTCCAGCAAAAGCAGGAATCGTCGATCGTCGTCATCGCCGAGGGACGTTTTATCACGGATGAGAGTGGATAGGCGAGTCGAGTTCGGCGGGCAGGTGTGAAACGATTCACGGGAAAATATGGTCTGGTCGGCGGTGGCGTCCGTGCGGACGGGAGCTCGCTCCACGAGGAGGAAGAAGAAGAACGCAGAACGTGGCCGGCCAAAGCAATAAAAAATGGAGGCGAGCCACCGAGCATCGGTGGAACGCCGCGCCGGTTTCTCTCTTTCTCGGGTGGCTGCTGGGTTGCCTCGGTCCTCGTTAACTTTACGAGCCGCTCGTAAAAATACCGTTCGGGCTGCTCTCTCGGCTCTCCGGTAATGTCTTCATCTCCACCGGATACGGACTCCTTAGGCGTCCCGAGGTGAATATAATGTACCATAATCAACTGGCCAATTACTTAACAGCGGCAAATAATTAATCCGTTGACTCCATCCGTGGTCCCTGGCCGCGAGAGAAACGATTCCTCTCGGCCGCACCGGAATCTATTTACCCCGATCGACGGGGACACGCTCCCATCTCGAGAATGAGAGAGCACGCGACCGATACCATCTGTCTCGCCAGCAGCGTCGCCATTTCGCTATTATTTATCGTTTATCCTTAATAGAAACGGTGGCACACAAATATTCTTTTAAAATTGAAAAGAAATTTGAAAAGAGAATCGATGACTGTAGAACTTTCAGTCGATAGGCGATTGCTGCGTGCTAGTTACAGTAAAAGATAGATACGATAAGATGACGTAGGTTACAAGAAAAGAAACAGATGCTGCGATATGGTCGTATAATCTAATTGGAGAGGACAGTATCGATGACGGTTAGTTCAGAAGAGTCGTAGGAAGGATCGAACGAAACGATGTAGTTGGGATATTTGTAAGCGTTTTATTGACTCTCCATCGAACGACCGTGTATTCGTCTTCCGCCTCGAAGTCGGCGTGTACGACGGACAAATTCGTCGAGAAAGATCTCGCCGCTCGAATACACACCGGGTGCTTAGAACAACGGAGTGTTTAACGAGCAGCTCTATCAGCGCACGATAAATTTCGTTGAACCGGCAAGAAGGATGTAACGCGGAACGACCGACATCGTCTAATTTCATCGTCTAATTAATTCGAGCGTTCGCTATCGGTCCTCTTATGCGCGAACAACAAGATCGATCGTTGCGATCGTCGACGATGGAACGAAAACCCTTGAGAGCACGGAGTGAACCGAGGTATGGTTTTGTTCGTCAACGACCGTATGGTTACCCGAACGGTGGCCTGTTCCTCCACGATTACGTCTATTTCACACTTACGTCTATTTTACACTTTCGTAATGGCGAACGTCTCTTTTTCTCTCGAGAAAGTTGCGAAAATGTTTACGCTGATCGTGATCCATCCTCTTAATTCGCAATCGATTTTTCTTTCTCGTTGCGGTACGTGCGACTGACGTCGCGACCTCGATATTCGACGTCCATTGGTCCGCGTATGCGTCCATTTCGCTGGAGTAAGTAAGTACGCAGCCAGTAGGTATAGGAATCGTGGCTTCGTGCGGTTTCTTTCATTAAATGGGCCTGTCTCGAAAACGTTTCGTACACGAGCATCGTGCACACTTGCACGCGGGACAAAGTGTAAAGCACAGAGAATGGAAAACAGAGAGAGACGGAGACGGTGAGGAACAGAGAAAAAAAAAGAGAGAGAGAGACCAGGTCGAAGTAAGGAATTTGCTCGAGGCATGGATACCTATTAGGTGGGTACATCGTTTATACCCGGCACGCACTTCACCCGTGGGAGCGCACGCGATATCCTGCCGGCTTAAGCCATCATTATTGTTATTAATAATGGTACGTAACGACCGATAATTGCTCAAGTCTGCCTGCGCCTCTGGTTTCCATTACCTTGCCAACGCCGTCCGTTTCGAGGACTCTCCTGTGGACGTTTCGAGTTCACGAAGATATCGGCGACCTTTCAAACCACGCAACGCGCAACTATCTCCGGCGTTCCTATCCACGATCAAAGTGAACCCCTCGCGGAAGAAGGTTCGAACGAGTTGAAACGTTGGATCGGCTCGTTAAGAAAAATGTCGAACGTCGAATCATCGGATTTATCGGGAAACGTTTGCGGCACGGTGTAATCGTCTTTGCGACTTCGAAGACCTATTTTCATCGAAAGATTCGATTGTTCTACCATCAATCACCGCATTACCTCGCCGTTTGTTGGTCTTCGTATTTATGCATTCACGTAACACCTGTGCATCTCTGACGCATGACCCGTCAGTTTTTCGCGTCGCCATCATCGATAATGATACCGCGACACGTTCTACAATTACTCGAGTCTCGTTGCGCCTTCAGCTTGAATTATGCAGTCAGACCTGTACGGTTCGAGCGTCGACTCTCCCCGGGGAATCGCAACCCGTGGGACCTAGAACGAAGGGTGAAGTAGTAAAATCAATGATAACCAACGCGAGTCCGCCGCGGAAGAAGCGTCTAAGCGAAGCCTGCCTGTGGCTAGCTGTAATATGAAGTAACGCGTTGCGATCGTCGTACGCGGATCTTTGACTAGGGTCGAAAAATTACATCTCAAATGGAATAGAAAAACGAGAAAAGAGTCGGTCAACAGCGAACGATCGATCCAGTCTGTTTGGCGATTTAGTAACGATTTACAATTTCAATCGACGCGTACACGATTGCCGTAGATGGCAATTGGAAAAGAGAGAGAGAAGGTGATCGTTTAATTCGCGCGACGGTACGATTTTCAATGGTCAGTTCCAGAGACGATTAGCTAATCCGGAGGAGCTCGAGACGGTACTCTCGTGCCGAGAGAGGCGAGAAATATAACGAAGCAGCATGGCAGCCTGAACAAGTATCGGAAACGTTACACGAGCGTCTATTCCGCGATCGGCTCGTATTAAATATCTCTGATTATCGCAGGCTATCGCATGCCGGTATCGTTTCACGCGCTAAGCTTCTAATGACTGCGCCATGGGCCCGCCCAGACACGATAGGATTAGTATCCGATGTCGAGCATGTATACTCCTCGAGATTTCAACCAAGGATGAGCTAGTATCGCTTTGCATCTCCATTTTGTCGATGCGAAACTCGGCACTTTTTGCTCGAATGTGGGTAGCCTATTAGCCACACGAATAATGGCTCGTCCGAGGTAACTTGTTATTTATGAAACCAGTAATTATTGGAATTAAATAACCCGTAGAATTAATAAAACGTAATTATAAATTGCCAATGATGGTACAAATTAAATTTCGTATTCAAATATCGTTCTAACATAATGCTGGTCGTTTGCGGCGCTAATCATCGAACGCGTTTGTCGAATCGCGATAGTCGCGTGATTATCCGAAACCATGGAGGATTCGGTTGGACGGCGCGGCGTTGAATACGACACGAGACGCGTAAACGCGGTCTGGTATCGGAGTTTACGAGCAATTTTATCGCGTACCAAGAGTATTGCCCGTACAACTCGGTCCTTGAAACTCGGTCTAATGTGTTTCAGGTACGCTACGTCCGCCAGGTTTAATCGGTGGCAGTAAGCCAAAAGTCGCGACGCCGGCCGTAGTCGCCAAGATCGAGCAATACAAGAGAGAAAACCCGACCATCTTCGCGTGGGAGATTCGAGAGAGACTCATCTCCGAAGGTAAGCACGATCTTTCCAGTATTCTCGCTTTAGAATTGATAAGTCCCCCGTTAATGAATACGCGTGTCCAAGACGAGGCCCGGCGCGGAGTACTTAAAAATTGGGAAGCGATTATTAGGAGACGACGCGAACCGAAATAGCTTGTCGTGCGTTTTGTTTTTTGCGCACGTAGGAAAGTGACTTCGAACGATAGATTACAGACGAAATAACGGAAAATGTGTGGCTGTTCTGTATAAATTGGCAAGGATGTCAACAGGTTCGTTGCAGGTTCGGTAAACGTGTAATTGCCGCAAACCAGCGAGCAAACTTCTCATTCGATTATGTTACAAGTTGTGTGTTTCTTTCATCAGTGCAAATCGTTCCGTAATAATAGTCGCATGTGTCTGCGTACAACGTACAATTGTACCGTAGAATCAAGAAACTCTACCATGGCCTTGTTCAACGACACACTTTATTCTTTTCAAAGCGAGAATCGACGCGTCCGGGCTCGCATCGCATACCTACTTTCGTACGATCAACGGTCTTCTCTTACCTTCGCTTATTACAATAATTATCCAAATTCGCATTCAAGTTCTTCCTACGTTACAGGAACTCTCTCGTTAAAAGCGTGTTTGAACGTCATCCGCGCGTGATTTACATGAAAATTAAGAGTATTCGGGAACGTAGAAAGCACCGGATGCGGGGCGTATCGTCTACGATTTCAAAAGGACAACATTCTGAAAACATTCCGTAAAGGTCGACGCGAGAAACGCGAATCGAATAAAACATTTTGTCAACGATGTAATATCGCGACTCGACGAGGCGGTAATTTTGACTCGTTTATTTTCGAAACGTAGTAGATAATGGTTGTTCGGAGATTGGTAAATATTGGTCCGAACAAGTTTCTTTTCCGCTTAGCATTAAAATCCCTCGATCGATGTACGTACACTTATAGGACGATACGTTGTCATCCCTCACCGATAATACGAAAGATTACGAGAGAGTGTATAAATCAGAGCGTTCCAGAAGAAGCACCCTCTGTACTTTGCAGGCGTCTGCAGCAACGCTACAGCGCCATCCGTGAGCAGCATCAACCGAATACTGCGGAATCGCGCCGCGGAACGGGCGGCTGCGGAATTCGCAAGAGCAGCCGGATACGGATTATACGCCGCTGGGCCGCATCCGTATTTCAACAGCGCCCATCAGCATCCGACGACGAGCCACCATTTGCCCGCCGGCTGGCCGGCGCCAGGGGCGACGGGACATCCTTGGATGTTGCCGCCGTTGGCTACCGGAATCTCAGGCGCTGCTTCCGCTCTGCTGCTGCCCCCGTCCTTGAGCCCAGGAGCTGCCGCTGCCGCGGCCGCAGCCGCCTCCGCGTCGGCGGCAGGCACAGCGGACCACTCCCTGCACGCTGACGCGATCGCTCGGGGATATTTGCAAGGTGATCATCGATCCCTCGAATATTACCTTCGAAATCGATCAGCCGTGGACCAGTGTTACTTCTTATCCTAACAATTTATATCGTATTAAACGTTTAAATTCAATGATAAACGCGCGCGGTATTAGATGCTACAGATGCTAAAGGTAACGAGTTGTAGACGACAATCGTGTCGTAAAGTTGAAACTTTGGAAAAACGACATATCGTACGTGCCAGTCCAATGCTCTTACTATAGTTCTAATTGGCATAGACTCGATTCATTGTGTGTTTCGTGCTACTCGTGAGTCATTCGTTGGACTGGGAAATGGGACGCGTCGAACAGCCACGGTCTAACACACGCGTCGCACCGCGCAGTTCGGTTCAATCCAAATCCCGCATTGTCTTGGACGATTATGATGAATAGTTTCGAGCATAATTGTTCGACTGCATCGTACGTCACGTTGCGCTATCAAGGACGATTAGCTGCACGCGTTCCTTGTGCATTTCCTTGGTATCCGACCCAACGATTAGAGACTACCAGCAGTCCCTACCGCGGGCAGATCAGTCAGTTCGTTTGAGCCAGGGCTTGCACTTGCGAAGATTAAGGAATATCGAAATGTAGATTCGTGATTTTCGTAATAATATTTTGATAATAATTATCGGGATGAAAATTGGCGGTAACGAGAACTTGTTACTCGAAATAAGATTTTATTTGAACGCGTTGTTCGCGTTTGAAACGTAAGCGGTCCCGGCCTCGTTCGATCCCCGAAAGGCCCTGATCGACGAAGCGCGGGCTGCTAACAGAAAAAGCTGGCTATTTGTCTGCGCAGACGGTGACGGAGACGACGGAAGTTTAGACGGATCGGAGCAGCCCAAGTTCCGACGAAATCGCACCACTTTCAGTCCGGAACAGCTGGAGGAGCTCGAGAAAGAGTTCGAGCGTTCTCACTATCCTTGCGTGTCTACGCGCGAACGACTAGCCTCCAAGACCTCTCTCTCGGAAGCTCGTGTACAGGTGAGGATCAATTCCATCCCAGATATCTTTCTCGGAGAGCTTGCACGATGGTTTCGCAAGGGCACGTTCTCGATCACGGTTTCCCTTGCTTCTCGTCTTCCGACTCTTTTTTTCTGAAGCAAACGCCGAAAGCGACCGTCGCGGGAGAATAGGCCCGTGCTTAGGCGTGCAGCCCTCCGAGCCTTAGAAATTTGATCACGAGCCTTCTAACGACCTAACTCGTGACTCTTAGGTTTGGTTTTCCAACAGACGGGCAAAGTGGCGTCGTCATCAGCGTATGAACCTCTTAAAGCGTTCGCCACCGCCACCTCCACCGCCTCCGCCGCCGCCGCCACCGCAGCAGCAGCAGCAGCAGCAGCAGCCACCGCCGCCGCCGCCGCCACAGCATTCCGCATCCGGTATGGAAATAAGCCGTACGTCAAGCTGCTCAATCGCCGGAATGGGAGGAGAAAGTAGCGCGTTCCGCGCGGTCGTCGCCAACTCCTCGTCCAGAGAGACGACGGATAGGAACGAGAGGATCGACAGGGTCGATCCGGTCGCCAAACAGCCCGAAAGAAAACCGAGCGCCTTCAGGATGATCAGTCAGTTGGTCGGCGAGGATTCGCCAAGCATACCAAGGCCCTCGAGCCCGACATACGACCACCAAAGGCACGGATCCAGCCTCGGTCCAGGAGCTCCATCCGACTCGGCGAACAAAGATGACTTGGAGCACATCGATGACGAGGAGGACGACGAAGAGATCGACGTTCAAGACTCGGACCAGGACGTTCCCTCCTCGCCAACCGTTGCCTGGCGGGATCACTGGACGGATCAGCAACCCTTGGAACTGACCAAACACGATCGTTGAATGTCTTCTCCGCGCTCGACGATCAACAATCGATCGATCGATCGGTGCATGGTGTTGTGCTACGTTTGGTAATCCATCGATCCGAATTCGAACCTTGTCGCGATTTCATCGTCTCGTATCGAGAACGCCTAAAATCAAAGTACTCCGAAAAAACTCTCGATCCGTTTCCGTAGATCGCCGGTGAACCGTCGAGTCCCGAGCTCGGGCGGAACAACGAACTCGATTCGATCCTGAAATTTGAACATGAACTCTAAATTGCCGGTTCAGAATCTCATCGAGGAACGGTAACGAATGGGAGAGCCGTTCTATCGTTTGCTTAATATCTCTTACTCTTTATTCGCATCGACGAGCTCCGGCCAATCGCACTTGGTACTTGTGCAGTTTCATCGGTGAGATCGTACGACCGCATTGCCCAGGTTTCGTGCTAGCAAGAGCCCCGAAGATGCGAAAGGTAGCTGAGAAATTTCTTTGCTTCCACGATCGTCTCGGAATTTGGTCCAACTAGCAGATTCGACGACGAAACGCGAAAATGTTGCTCTTTGTACCAAAAATATTACTCATTCCACGAAGAAGAGTCTTTTTCAATATTAGGGTGTCCAAAAGGAAAACGACCCGGGCCTTTCTCGATTTTCGAGAGAGCCTCCTGTACCTATACAGCTACTTACTACGATTACGGTCCATTTATTACGATTAAGATTACGCTAAGTGCTACGAAGATCGTTGTGTAACGTTAAAGCGCAATATACGCCGGGGTCGTTGAGACGTTCGTCATCGTCAGCCGTGAATCATCGGCGATTTTAGATAGGTAATTAATTGCTTGCTCGATACGTATCGCCTACCGATCGTGAACGGTGCGCTTTTAGAATTCTACGCGGCGTCGGCGAGACTTCTGAAAGACGCTTAAACGTGCAACGCGCAGAGACAGTGTCCGAGCCTATTTGGAACTAGTCCTAGCCGAATCATTATTGCCGCGGATAATGTATCGTCTAGGCACAGCATAGATAGGAGTAGGTGTCGAAACGATAAACTCTGTAAGCAAACTCTGTTAAATCGACTTTTATTTAAATGAATTCGTTTGTAAATATCCACACGGCTTAAATAATGCTCTTTTACAATCCAAAACGTCTTTGAAACGATTCGACATCACACGCTCCCGCTCCCCCTCACCCTCCCCTTGCCACCAATATGAATCCAGGAGATTCGAATCCAAAGATAATTTTCTCTAAACTTGCATATCGTATGTTTTCCTTTATATTTCAGTTTACCAGCAAACCGTGAAAGTTGCTATGATGACTTTGATATAGGAACAACAAGTTTGACGAAGGAATGAAAAGATATCGAGGCAGGTGGTGGCAAATTTAATTTTGCAACGTAAAGTCGAGGCGAGCTGATTTTTTGTGGAATAGAGTTATACACGGAACAATTTGTAACTTTTGAATTTTGCGGGAACGACGCGCGAGAAGAGACGAGACGAGACGAGACGAGACGAGACGCGCGAGCAGGAGGACGGGCGAAAGACTCGTCGACGATTAACTCGAATCTACGGTTTCGTTGGGCTCGCAAATAAGGAATCTGCGCGTGAAACTGGTTTCTCGGCGACACTCTTTCGGGACACGGGCGGAATCGGTCGTTGGCGGACAGCACGAAAACACCGGATCCACCGACATTTCGGATATCGTGGTCCCCGTCAGCGGTTAACGCGACTACCAAATTTATAACCACGATTGGACCGGGGATGCGCGCACGGCAGAGAAGGAACGAACGATCGGAAGAGAAGGAGATTCGAGGCTGGACAAGGAACCGGGACCGTGAGACCAAAAAGGACTCGGTCGCGTTGTAATTGAAACAAACGTGACAAACGCTCGCTTTACGGTGTTGCAAGCCAAACTCTGTGGGCAGTTGCAACGTCGAGGGGTCGGAAGTTTATTTAGAATTTGCTAATCTCGGACGAACCGGTGGGTGATTATCGCCAAGAGTCGTTGGGAAGAAGGACGTCGTAGAACGAAACTGTAGCGAATCCGCTAAGGCTGTTAGTTGTTGCCCGTTTCGCGTATCTTTCTTTCCGTCACGTGTTTCGTGTAATCGAAGTAAAGAATGCAAAATACACTCCAAGAGATCCATTTGAATCGAGGAATCGGTATCCCGGACGGTGAAATCGGCCGCACAATAGAAGAGAAAAGAAAAAAGAGGAAAGAGAAAAAGAAAAAGAAAACGGGAAGGGTAGAGCGTACAAAAGGCACTGGGCCATAGACTCGGGGCGCGGAGAACGAGACAGAGGAGAGGGATCGACGTTATTGTAATGCGAACAAACTTGCGAAAGGCATTAACACTAGTGGTGGGTGAGGATCGTTCGGCACTCCCACCGTAAAAGAAAGAACAAGGGACGAGCGGAGCGAGCAGCCGAGCACACGCGGGAAACAGGGTGGCTGGAGGAGAAACTTGAAGAAGAGGAGGAGGTGATCGCCGCGCCGGTGAGGAAAAGGTGAGGAGAGGAGAAGGTTCGGGCAACGAACAGAAGGAGGGATCGTCGAACACATTCAGGCAGTCAGCCACGAGAAACGAGAACGTAACAATTACTATCTGAGACCGATCGGTACGGTAAGATTAACGATCTTACTCGTACCGGGCACGTCGGGGCCCGTCTTAGCCGCGATTGCTCATGGGAAGAGCGTGGGGCCGACGTTAAAGTCACCTCCTCCTTTGCTCAATGAGATATTGCCTGCCGAGCGTAGCGCACCTTTCCGTGCACGCTGAATCGCGCGTGCTTCCCTTCCTCTTTGTCCTTTTCGCCTTCCACGCTACGCGAACGCGTACCTTCCGTCCGAAGAAAAATACCTCCGATAGGCCGATAGTTAAACACCGCGACGAGGGACGTTTTCCGATTCACGCGGAAGCTCCGTCCAGATGCGTCTCCGTTTCGGCCGGTTAACCTCTCGAACGCGATCTTTGTATCGCATCATCCGACCTGTCTTCGGAACGGATAGTCGAGTGTCTCTCTTTCGTTTATGTCAAATTGGAGACGCAACAATTTGCTCTATAAGATCGTTCGTCCCGTTCGAGAGTAAAAGGGGCGCGGTAGCATCTCGGACCGTCGAGTTTTCGTCGCACGAGAATCGCTACGGATACGATGGAAACGGTAAAAAAAAACATGGTCCTAATTCGGTAAGCTCGATTCTTCGCAAAAAGTGAACGTGCGACGCGCGAACGACACGAAGATCCGAGGAACGAACAGATCCGAACAGCCTGAAGGGTGGGGAACTGGGAGAAAAGGGTGGCATGGTCCCAGCCATAATACGCGAGAAATCGTGAATTAGTGAGCGTCTTTTTGAGCGAGAGAGCGGACGAAGGAAAGGAGTGCCCGATGATTTCTCGCCCAATTAGAGTCGACCGGGCTATAAACTTCTTCGCGGATAAGATAGGACCTCGGTTTTCTGTGTTCCGTCCGAGGTTGGAAACGGGGGATTGAGGTGGCGAACAGCCGTAATGTCCCGCTTCAGCCCGGAAGCCTTCCAGGTCGCATATAGGCCGGGAATCTGTGGCTGGGTGGGAAAAAGATAGACCCGGTCGTTCGAGAGAGAAAACGGCGAGGGTGTCAGGGGGAAGACCGAGGCAGAAGAGTGTACCTGAGCATTGGGACGGAGCTAATTGGCTCGTCCACTGACCATTGAAACCGCCGTCCTGGTATCGTCTTCGATCCACGGAGCACATATACGTGCCAACGTTTCAGGACGATCAATTAAACGGAAATGGCCGAGAGATATCCCACGAGAAACAGACGTTCTCGCACGTCCCGAGCACCGCCTGTTTCACCTTGGCTTGCGCCTGCCAAGAGGACGCCTTGCCTTTTTCACCGGTCAGAATTTCTAAAGCGGGACTCGACGAAACACCACGGTGACTCTTTTGCGCGGGAATCCGAGTTCTCCGTTCGAAATCGATCGATCGAACGTTGCGTCGGTCGAGAGGGTGAGTTTCGAATCGCAGGTCTCGCATTGTTCGCCGAGGAAGGATTTCCGTCGCGAGATCGTTTCCACGAAAAACGTAGTGCGCGTATCCTACCCGTTCGTAAAGCACCGTTCCCTACATAAATTCCGTCCGCATTAGCAGGCGGGTTCGATTTTATTTTACGTAATCGGTTGGTCCTCGAGGGAATACGCTCCCAGGACGTAACACACATTCTACCAAGCGTGTTTTCTCTCTCTTCCTTTCTCTACCTCTCCCTCGGTTAGTCTCTGGTCTCCGTCGTCGGGCTCGCGTGCAACCTGCGTATACGTGGCTTGCTCGCGCAGACCTCTCGGGTTGTGTTTGCGTGTGCACGTAGGGCCAGCGAGCGAAGTAATGGCGCAGAAGCCAACTCCTACTACTCTTGCGGTCTGAAATGAGTCGACTAGGATGGTGTCGACGTGATGTACAGCGACAGGGTTGATAGCGTTACAAGAGCTACTAACCCTCCTTCCTTGCATACCCCCTGTCTCGCCCCACCCGACGATCCTCGCCCTTTTCTCCGCCACCTTCGCCGTCGTTGCAACTTGCAACCACCACCGCCGCCGCTGCCGCCACCGCCTCCTCTCCCTCCTACTCTTGTTTCTTCGCCACTTTCGCCTCTTTCTGCTTCTCCGGCACGACGTGTTCGAACGCATCAGCGTGTAAAGCACGCTCTCGTGGTCAGACCAGGCCTCCTTTTCTTCATCTCCTTCTCACCCTATCCTCCTACCACTCGGACTTTCTCTGTCTCTCGATCCGCCGCGCCGCGCCGCGCCGCGCCACGCCGTCCGGACTCTCTTTTGCGGTCCATCGATGTCTCCCTATCTCTCTGCTTCGCTTTCTCTGTCCGCGATAGCTTCTCCTTTCGTCCTTCGACTGCCACCCTCTCGTTCTCTCTCTGGTCTTGTTCCAAATCGTTCCTCTTTTCGTTGTCCGACGTTGTCTCGTCTTTCTCTCTCCTCGGACTCGATTCTCCTTTTTCACTCGCTCCCGTTCGTGTCGTCGTTTACGTAGGTATACGGAGATTTGTATAGAGGCTGAGTCGCGCGCAGAAAGACCGAGACTATCGGGGCCACTAACTTATTATCGGGAACCGCCATTAGCATGTTTATAGAAGTGACTGGTCGACACGCATGAGACCGTGCCGCTGCGGAACGGGGGGCTCGGGTCCCGAACGGGCCAGCCCGATTCTTTTGTATTTGTGATCAATTAGACGGTGTCCCGTGTCCACCGGCGGAACACCTTCTGGGGATACGCCTAACCCTGGAATGTTCTCCTTCCCTCGGTTCGTTTTTCATCGCGGCAAGAATCGGCCGGCGATCGTTATCGCCTCGATTTCAGTGGCCGGCATACAAATGATTGCGGTATCAACCAGAACGCTCGAACGTGATCCCGAAGACTGGATCGAGACGCATGCAGGTTCCAGAGAGACGAGAGAGCTAATCCGAGACGAGCGCGAGCAATTCACTCGAGATCGTTAAGTCTAACGCATTGGGTGCGATGAAATTCGAGGACGTCGAACGTCACCCGATTATCCCCTTGTTTATTTCGCGTCGATCGATTCGATTTCGAAGTAGTAAAGGAATACGAAGCGAATCTAGAGAGTAACGAGAGACTGGTTCTCGAAAAATATCTTGTTGCGATTCGATCGCGAATCAACGTTATCTCCGTCGACCACTTTTCCAACATTTCCATCTTTTCAGTAAAAAGAAAATCCGTGAAAAGCTTCGTTTTTATTGCACGATTAAATCGATACTCCCAATTAGTTATCGTTCAAACACCGAGGCACAATGCACGATGGATAAGAATCAACGATCGGCATCATAAAAAATGTTAGCGATGCTACGCGATATTTATCCTAACGATTTGGCCGTTTGGTTGATAATCGATTGATATTGATAACCGGGTATACAGGTGATACGATTAATACTCAAGAATCTGATAAAACCGGTTGAATCGATCGCGCCAGGAGGCAATCATGAAAGAACCGTGAAGCGTTTCTGGTGCAAGAGTGGAGAATTGCCGCGTGTCGTCGTACGTTCTCTCGGGAGGAACTCTTCGATCCCAGCGACGATAACGTCGGATTGCCTAATGACAACGA